CAYTCATATATAGAATTATTTTGGCCATAGAAAAATAACATAGGGGCTTTCTAAGGCTACTGAACACTATGATTTCTACTGTATCTTCAGTTTCTTCCATTTTTATTCATTTAAGTCTGTTTCATTTGTTTGAGAAATGATCATTACAAGAAAGTACAATGATTAAATTGTGTTAAACTCTGGCTTTTCAGTACTTAGAATCTGAGTGTATATTGTTTTGCACTCCAGGGAACTCTTTATTTTCTTCCTGTCCATTCATTTCTTCTAATAAAAGGTTAAGACTAAAATAGTTCTTCTTCAGACAATTTCAAGAGCATGTTTAATTTAGTTTTTGTTTCTAAAATTTAGTTGGTAGTCAGAACAATATGATATAAACTTTCTGCATGTTCAGTATTGCTTTCCCATAGTTAAACTTCTGAATCTGAAATTCTATAACTCTTATTCCCACCATTGATATTAACACTATATTAATAAAATATCTTGTATACAGTATAAATGTCTATTGGAATCCCATAAAAGAGAGACTAGTTTTCTTTTTAGTATAGTAAGTACAGTTTTTTGAATGAGCATGCTAATCCACAGCCTCATTCATCCTTGACTAGCTACTTGTCTCTCTGACACCAATGGCCTCTCAATTCCTTTCCAGATGCCTCTGTTGAGATCTGCAGAGGAAGTTACCCAAACTCCACCAGGTGATACCCCACTAGTTAAAAAAAGCATCTGGCCAAAGGCATTTCCTGGGTTAAACCAGGTTCAGATTCTAAGGATTCAAGCTTGGCTCCTACTATTTAATCTTCTATTCCTATATCTTCAATCAAAGTGTTTTTATTTTCTGAAATAATAATAATTTTTCTCAAGGCTCTCAAAACCCTGCGTCATCTGAAAAGATACATGAAGTCTATAAATATGAAAAACAGAATGAAACATTGATATTTTTAAGTGAAGAAAAAAAAGGTTTCTAAAATGTTTCATTATTTTAAATAAACAGATTAAATGGCATATATTAACTCCTGGAAGTTTTGGAAGCCTTCTCACTTTACTGATAGAGAGTAGGATTTAACAACTCAGTTGCTAGTAGCTTTCCCTCCATTTAGTCTTTGTGTGAAAAACACAATAAATGTTTTCTTTAATAGTCATTCCAAATTGAGTTGAGAAATCATCTTTTGGAGATGTAAATTCCTGCTTTGGGTAGAAGACTTAACATTGTTAATCTTCATAGTTTCTTTCAACCTTGAATTCTCCTTAATCACAGTAAACATTTTTTTTTTTCTAGTTTGGGAAGGTAATCCATGTGACTTTTGCTTTCTAATAGAATTGTTATAAATAAGAAAAAAAAAAAAAAAAAACAACTCAAGCCTTTCTTCACATCAGGGACCAAACATTCCCCTTTCCCACACCGTCTGGTAATTAGCTTGACAATTTTTCCAAAGATAGTTTAAAAATTAATGAAAAATTCTCCATATGTATATTTTCTTTATAGTAATAGAAAAAAAAAAGTTCTCTAAGGAAAACTTTCCCAGGTTAATTTGCAATTTGGGTTGCTAGTAACTGGCAGCCTGTGTGATGGCTCAATGCCTCAATGTTAAAAATGAGAATGAGGCCAAGTCTAGTGAATAGAGGTCCTCAGACAATTGCTATTTTTATTCCTTCCTCTGGTATCAAGTGTAGGAGAGGAGGGGAGACTGGAGATACAACAGAACCATTTTTTATTGCCATCTTTCACTTCAGTCTAAATGAAAGTATGTGWTAAAGAGATGAAGAAATAATATCCTTTTTTCTTATTTTTCTTCAGTAAAGGAGCTTAACTCCAGTAAACATTATTAAAGTATATTTAAGGCTGGGATGTGGCTCAAGCGGTAGCACGCTCGCCTGGCCTGCGTGCGGCCCGGGTTCGATCCTCAGCACCACATACAAACAAAGATGTTGTGTCCACCGAGAACTAAAAAATAAATATTAAAAAAATAAAGTATATTTAAAGTTCATTTAAAAGATTAAAGAAGTTAATGCCTCTTAATATAAGGAAAATTATTTTATTATAATGTTTTCAGACATTACAATACAATGGCTGATTTATTACTCCAAATCTGTATTGGGAATATATTCATCCTAGATATATTGATTTTTTAAAAATAAATTTTGGAAGGGAAGAAGAGCCAAAGCCATCTACCAACAATTCTTCTTTACCCTTTTCATAAACAGCACTAGGTCCATCCTGCTAACGGAGACTGTTTCAAAGCAGTAGAAATACTTTTTTTTTTTTTTTAAATTGCAAAGGTAGGATTAGTCAACTAAAGACATTTCTTAAATAACAAAAGACAAATAATTTTTCCAAACTATATGTTTTTCTAAGTTGAAGCATGAAAGATCAAGTATTTATGGTAAAATAGTCATAGTTAAATACACTGAATTCTAGAAAAGTATGAAACATTGAAATGGATTATTAATATTATCAGGGTCTTTGTTGGACACAGGAACGTCTGTATTTATTGTTATAAAAATTAAAAAAAATTCTTTCAGATGTTGATAGATCTTTATTTTATTCACTTATTTATATGTGGTGCTGAGAATCGAACCTAGTGCCTCACACATGCTAGGCAAGTGCTCTTCCACTGAGCCACAAACCCAGTCCCTAACATAAAAATTTAAAAGGTTACATTCCTCTTTAGAGTCAGAGAAATCAATAAAATTGATTTAAAATTTAAAACAGCATCATATATGTTAAACATGGAAAAAAAATTTACATTTGTTACTTTTTCCATGTTTTTCGATTAAGAACTTTTTAAGGCTTTAGTAGAAATTAGAATAAATGTCATTGCAAAAATGTTACCTATAATTTTTGGCTATTTAGTTTGTACAACAATACTCAAAAGTTCTAAGTTTGTGATGTATAGCAATAATTACATGAATTTTTAGTAGTTTGTGCTACAAGGTACCTTGCATTTTAGCATGTTATTCTTTTTTTTTTTTAACCTTTGGTTTTTTATTTGTTTATTTTTATGTGGTGCTGAGGATTGAACCCAGGGCCTCCCACGTGCTAGGTGAACAATTTACCGCTGAGCCACAACTCCAGCCCCCAGCATGTAATTCTTATAATTAAAATTATCTGACATTAATCAAGAACTCTGCTTCAGAGCACTGCTTAAATATAAAGGCATACCATCTGAGGAGCAGGATGAGACTGACTGTCAGCCTTGATCCTGCTATTAGCTCCCTTATGGAATAAAAAAGATAATATGAATGCATCTTTTGCTAATGGCGTCTGGTTTTATATAGTTACTCTTGCATGAGCTATACAGGTATGGTATGAAATTCAGAGAAGTTCCTAAATCACTGTGGCTGGTTTACTGAGGTGTGATTGTGTAGCTGTTAGAACAGACCCTGCAGTGCCATTCAAATCTAAATGCCCCATAGCTGTGTGCTTGGGTAGTTAGTTAATCTATTGGGGCTTTAGTTTTGTTGTTTTCATCTGTATAAAGAGGGTTGTTATAGGCTAAGAAAATGTATACACACATATAAATATATATATTTTAAACATGTAAGATATGTATGTACACATTAGACATTTGCTTTTGATACATATGAATGTATATTCACTTACTTAGATATATGTATACATACATATACACACATACACACTTAAAACAGTTCTTGGCATGTGGTCAATGCTACTTAAATATTAACTATAATTACATTGCCTTATTTCTATTTCTGATCTATTAAAGAGTAACAAAATTAAATGATTTGATGTTTCCTTCTTTTCTCTACTTTTTCCTTAAAGGTTTAAAGGGTGCAGCAAAATATCACCATTAAGAAGTTAAGTAAACAAGAATGAGAAGCCCTAAAGCAAGGTGCTGAGTTAATAGGCTAATAACTTCCTGAATGCATACTGGCTCYTTGTAGAACCAGCAGACTATTAATGGGCTTTTGTTTTAGACCTGATAGATTGATATTCCAGGGACAGAACTTATGAGAGCCCTCATAACCACTGCCTCATCATTATCTATTACTAAAACAGCAAATAAGCATAATCTCATATAAATTAAAAAAATAGAATGTGGGCTTTGCAAGGACAGAGATTTTTGTGAGTTCACTGAAGTATCCATAGTCCATAAAATCGCCTAGAAAATAATGGAAGTTCACTGAGTATTTCTTGAATGAATTGAGCAAATGTAATCCCTGACCTTTCCTTTTAACAGGATTAATATGGAAAGCAAAACAAAATGGAATGCTTTCCTATTTCTTGACAGATTTCTATCCTTGGGAATGCTGGTAGGCAGGTAAGCAGGGCTGAAGAGCAGTATGCAAAGGGCATACRTGCAAATGTGTACAGTTAGCAAATATTTCAGATGTCATGGATTTGGTTGAGYATTACAGGAAAGGTGTGGTGTGGAGATACCACTCTTAGATTCATGTGCTCTTGTCACATTTGTATATAAAATATTTTATCTGCATAACTTTAGTGTCTATCTATGCTTACACATTTTTCTCCCCAAATTTTCAGAAATCTTTGACTTCTGACCAAGTGTCATAGAGAACTTAAGTGAAACTTTCTCAGCAGTTAGCTTTTTTGAAGTTTCTACTCAGCTTTGACTGTTTAAAATAATCAGTTTGACACAATCCCTTTCACTAGTAGGGTTGATAACATAGCATTACTTATGTTTTAGGTCACAATCTCAGAGAGTGAATTGAAATAATAAARCACTCTTAGAACTAGATCTGACTTAGCCAGATCTAAGTACATATTCTTTTCTATTCCTATAGCAAACATTTTCAAAAATAGAAAAACATCTCTTTTTACAGCATTGGTGCGTGCATGACTACACATTGTAAGTTTTTTAAATTATCTTTTAATGAAAACTGGAAAAGTACTAGTCATCCTTAGCTAAGCTATACCCTATATATTTGCATTTTCTAAATATAAGAAAAAACAATAAATAACCTCAAAGTGCATGATTAATTAATTAGACATGATTTCTTAAAATGATTTCCATCATCTCATTTAACTTTGAACTTTTCAGACATTAACAAATCACCAAAGAGCTATCATTGATTTATAAAGTACATTACCACATCAGGCCTAACCCAGAACTCTGGGCCCATAAGAAAAAAGAAAGGTTTACAAGTGAACCAGGACAGAAATATGCTGAAAACATCTATTTRTAATCATAGAAAACAATTAGGCCTACTGTTATTAGAGTGAACATTCAGGTTCATTTTATTTCAAGATACTGTGTTTCTATGCTTGAAGCTTGGGTAGTGTTAACTTTACTTGGCCCTTGGACATATAGGGTAAACAATTTACATTATTGCACAGTAACAAAAATACAGCCACAGATAATACAGGATCTAATCAACATTGATACGCTTGGTAATTAAGGCTAACAAACATTGGAAAACAGTCATTTGTAGGATGTGATCAAATATCCTAACACAGTGTCACCTGTTTGAGTTACTAGAAAAGATTTCTTATTTCAAAATATATTCATAGTATTCTTTTTTTTCACATTTGTCAAATTCTTTTTATGTGTGCAAGACAGAGGCACTTTAAAGAGCTACCAACTGCAACTTCGGAAGTATCAGACTTGTAGTTTCCACCATCATTGGTAAATATGGTAAAGAGTGAAAATGAAATTGGATTAGAAAGCAAGTAAACAAACTATTAAATCAGAAAAAATTTTTAAAATTCCGTAAAAATCATTGTTCTCTGGTTTGAACTTCCATATTATAAAAGAAAAATTAACAGCTATCACCCATCTACATCCAGCCGAGTATTACAGCTTTCTGATGTTAAGGTATAATGGTTTTGCTGTTTGGGCTTGTAAAGGTTTAAAATATCAATGAGTTAATTACTTTATTTTTGAGTTTTTCAAAGTATTGTATTTTACATAGGTTCTAAGTAGTCAGAAAAGCTAAGACGTCGAATAAAATCTATTGGAAACGTTTAGTAAAGTATGTAAAAATTAAAGGACTTAAAAAAAAACCCACTTCATTTTAAGTGTAAAAATAATTTGCGTCCATTTGTGGGACTCCAATGACTTTTTCTCTTCTCTTTATTTTTTTCTTATTTCCCCCGGGGTCTTAGTTAGTTGGTACATACTGCACCCGCCACAACACGTTGGAAAGCAGGTCCTGGTACACACTAAGGAATATCCAGCCAGGTAAATACATCAGGGTGATGAGACCCATAAAATTGAGCGGGTAGTGAGAATAGTCCCAGGAACAAGCCCCACATGTGCGAAGTCCCAGACCCCAGGAAAATTCCCAAGCATAGATGAAGATCACGTAGACGGGCACCCGCTTCCAGGTGCTCCAGCCGCGGCTGTAGTGGAGGTGGAAGTAGAGCTTTTCCACCACAAAACTGCAGCTGCCATACATAAAGAAGGACCACAATGACGTGTGACCATTGGTTGCCCCGTCCCCATGTCCTAGCACATTAAAGAAGAAGGTAAAGAAGATCTCATCCAAAAATCCATGCATTCCGAAGAAAAGAAAACGGAGCAGGTCTGGTAGCCCCTGGTTAGGGGCTCCTACTGCGCCCTTGGGGCCGCGGGGTCGACGCCGCCGGCCACTCGCTCCCGAAGGGGCTCGGGCTCCAGGAGGGGCAGGGAGGGCGCCCCTCCGCTGCTGTTGCTGCTGCTGCTGCTGCCGGTATCTCAAGCGCAGGAAGCGCTTCATGAACACTTGGCAGTGGTAGAGCGCCAGCACGTACTGCAGCGCCAGGTCAAGTGCCCCCGGCGCCGCCGCGCCCCCCGGCCCGCCACCCAGGCTGAGCAGCAGTGCCTGGCTGGCCAGGGTCTGCAGCCCCACGTGGGCCGAGGGGTAAAGGAAGAAATTGAAAACGAAGGCGCTGGGGCAGCGCGGCTGCTGCAGGTAGATCTTCTCCAGGGCGAAGTGGGTGAGCGAGTGCAGGAGACAGCGGTAGGGCGAGGAGAAGCCTAACATCCGGAGGTCCGGGCTGCGAACGAAGCGCCATGCCGAGGACACCAGCACGTCCAGGGTGATCCCRTGCATCCCATAGAAGTAGAGGCGCATCCAGGCGGGCAGCGCGGTGCCCTCGGCCGGCGCTTCAGCAGTGGACAGCGGCTCCGGGCAGTGGGCGCCCGCCTCTCCTCCCAGCCCGCTGGGGGGCCCGGGACGCCGCACTGCGCCGCCCCTCTGTGTCGGCCCCTCGCTGTCCACGTCGCTGCCGGCCATGGGCTCGGAGGCTACTCGGGCGCCCGAACCCGCGTCGCGGCCGCCGGGTGCGCGGAGCTGGGAGTCGAGCGGCGGAGCCCCGCSTTGCCTCCCGGTAGCTGCCGGTCTCTGGGGGGTCGAGCCGGGAGCTCCGTCTTGGCCGCGGCCCCGTACCGCCGGGGTGTGTGCGCTTGGGGGATGCTAGGGCCGCCTGGCTCGCGGAGTCCCCTACCTYGCCCCTGCCGCGCCCTCCTCCCCAGTCCCGGGCGACGTGCGGCCGGCGACGCCCGCGCTTACTCTGCGCGGCCTAACTAGAGCGGCGGCTAGGCGAGGGGAGGCGAGGCCGGGCTGCGCGGAGAAACGCAGAGGCTGGTACGAGCACCATCCCCTCCGCGGCTCAGCCCCGCCGCCTCTGTCGCAGGCTCTGGAAGCGTAACGCGAGCAGCGACGGCCCTTCCCCCGGCCTTCCCTTACCCCTCTCCGACCTCTCCCGCCTTCGCAGGCCCCCCGCCCCGCCCCGGCCTGGCGCGCCGAGTCTCGAGTCTCGCGGGGGTCCACTCCAGAAGGCCGGGTCCCACTTCTCTGTCCTTTTTCGCCCGCTCTGCACYCGGGTCCCCGGCGGTGCGGGGGTTGCTAGCTGGGCGGAGACGCGGAGTGGAGAAACACCTAACAGGTGTGACTGCGAGCTGTTGGACATTCCCTGTGTAGCGGAAACCAGGGCCAGGCCTTGGCTGGCGGAGACGAATGGCTGGGCGCCACCGGCCGGAGGCCAGGCCCAAGACCAAACTATGGTGCTGTATATTTAATGTTCTTATTCAAAGYCAGCTGTGTCCCAGTCACAGAGAGTAAACCGGGGACTCCACGCCTGCCTGCCCGAGCATAACACGGAATCTGAAATGCTGCTGCAGGGCCTGATCCACTTTTTCAGTCTCTTTCCCTGGTCCCTGTGCTTTCCTAGGGCCAGTTTACTCAGGGTCAAGGACAGAGACTCCAGAAGGTTGAGTTAGTTGGGGTGTTGGAAAAGAGGAAATGTATTGCTCTGGCTACCTTGGGGTGAGTCTCAAGTATCTTTGCTCCGACTGGCACGCCCCAGTGCTGTTTTTTTTTTTTTCTCTCTTTGTGGAACTAGGTCATCCCAGAAAGAGTGAAATAAAGGGTCTTTTTCTGTCTCTTCTTCTTCCTCTCTTCCTCCCACTCCCCTCTTTTTTCTCTTTTCTTCTCCCCTCCCCTCTCCTCCTTTCCTGTCCCCTCCCCTCCTTTTTTCTCCCCTCCCCTCCCCTCTTCTCTCTCTTAGAAGGAGAAGGTGTAGGGGGTTGAGAATGTTGATGTGCTGTTTTCTACATTTCCCCCCCCCCCCAATTTTGTAAGCTTCGAATTGGAAAGAACCTTAGAAGTCAATTATACTGATTAATTCCTTTCCCTACCTTCATCTCCCTAAATTCATGTCTAGGCACAAAGTAGGTATAGCTTTAGTTTAGTTTGTAAGGAGTTCAGATCCTGTCCTCACTGGATAAAAGGTTTTATGTTTCTTTTCCCCCTTAAAAATAATCATTCTAAGGCAGATTTTTTTTCACGTTTTTTATTGGTGCATTGTAATTGTACATAATGGTGGGATTTATTGCTATGTGTTCATATACACACACAATATAACAATATAATTTGGCAATATCACTCTTTGGCATTTTCCCCTTCCTCCCTTCCTGCTTCCCCCTGGTCCCTTTCCTCTCCTCTACTGATCTCCCTTTGGTTTTCATAACATACCCCTTCTACCTTTTTTTTCTCCCTTTTCCTCTCTAGYTTCCACATATGAGAGAAAACTTTGACCCTTGACTTCTGAGTTTGGCTTATTTTCTCAAGTTCCACCCATATTCCTGCAAGTGACATAATTTCATTTTTCTTTATGRCTGAATAAAACTCCATTGGGTATATATATACCACAGACTTGTTCCATTGCTTGACTATTGTGAATTCCACTACTATAAACATGGGTATGCATGTATCACTATATTATGCTAATTCTTTAGGATAAATACAGAAGGGTGCTGTAGCTGGCTCATATAGTGATTCCATGTCTGGTCTTTTGAGGAACTTCCATACTGATTTCCATAGTGGTTGTACTCACTCACAGTTCCACCAACAATATACAAGTTCTTTTTTCTCCACATCCTCCCCACCATTTCTTTTTGTTTGCAGATCATTTCTAAGACAACCTCCACCCCAGTCTCTCCTCTTAATTATTTCAACCCCTCATGCTATAATCCATGGCAGTTATTTGTGAATTAGGTATGACAGAAATTAGCTTTGGTGCAAAGAAAAATTATGATAATAATCAGCATTTGTATAAGGGCAAGATATTTGTTTTTCAGCTTTGTTAACATTGTTTATTTTGCTGACTCTTTGTAACCAAAAAAAGTCAGTGGGTGGAAGTTGTTTTCGTCACTCCAGGGACAGAGGTGTCATATAGCAGGCTCATCAAGCTGCTGCAAAACAAAAACAGGGCCAGTTACCCAATGCTTGAGCAACTACTATGATAATAATAATGTAATAAGATTCACTCTCTCCTTGAGAGGTGTATAATTAATTGAATTGATATGAAAATAATCTTATTATATCTATGTAAAAATTTACTTATGATTAATGTTAATAATCAGCCAGTAGTACATATAAAATTAAGTGATTCTTTTGACTTACTATTTTATTCAATAAACTATCCTGGTCCAACTTTATACATTAAAAACAAAGGTGCTCTTTCTCCATAGTTGATATTCAGACAAGGAAAAGCACTTTATTCTAAATATAGCAATATATAGTCAATATATGCTAGATTAAACTTGAATCATTTTGAAGTAGTAAATAAAACTTCACTGGCACAAGTCTTCTGTTTATTCTAGCTTTGCTTAATAGTGCAAGGAAAACTTGAAAGGTCTTATGCTATAATCAAATCTAGAATTCATCCCAGGGAGTGTTGAAAAATAGTTTGGTTTAAGAAAACTTGGAGGTTCTATTTGTATATTTTTTTTCTTACATTATATTTATTTATTTTTTCTCAAGGGCAGACCCCCAGTGAACTAATCATCTTTCACTGGGCTCATCTCTTAAAAGTTCTGTGACCTCTTACTATTCCCATAAAGGATCAAGCTTCTAGTACGAACCTTTGGAGGACAAATCACATCCAACAGTAGTACACAGCAATTATGCCAACTGTGTTTCTGGATCTATGATTTCTTTTCTTTCTTTCTTTTTTTTCTTTTTAATTTCACGTGGTACTGGAGATCAAACTCAGAGCCACACACATGCTAGATAAGTACTCTACCACTGAACTATRTCCCAGCCCTTTTTATTTTTTATTTTGAGACAAGATCTTGCTGGGTTGCCCAGGCTGGCCTTAAACTTGAGTTCTTCTTGCCTTAGCCTTCTGAGTTGCTGGGATTATAGGTACATGACACATGCCCAGCTTTGAATATATTTTTGAGTTGATTATTGCTACTATAAGCTGTAGAGTTTGCCATAATAGATTTATAAACCCAGGAACTTTAAAAAAGCTTGATGAACATGAGGGTGAAAGGAATGTAAATGAAGAAACAGGAAATTGCAGTAAAATAGCATCAATTTGAGATTCCTTAGGTTTGGGGACAACCATTCAAAACATACTTTAAAGCATTATTCTTCTGTGAAAGATATAGCCTTCTTCCTTGCTAGCAGGGCCTAAGAAGCTGTAACTTGAATGTAGAGATGTAACAGTCCATGAGGAACCAGCACTGACTTTAGTGGACTGGCCGTTGTAGCTATAAGCTGGTACAACTCCTGGAGCCAGGTTAGTCAGTGTGAACAGGAAAAGATTTAAGAGTTGGAAAGGTATGTTCCTTTGGAGGATTGTGATAATCTTTAGTGAATTATTACCTAGTGGCTGCAAGTTCGGTGTTGTAATCTTTTAGATGTATAGCATGCTTGATGCCTTTCATTACATATAGGAGGAACCAAAAAAGTACAGAGGAAACATAGCATTAAGAAGAAAGTTTAGAACTGGCTGCGGTGGCACATACCTGTAATCCAGAGCTCTGGAGACACTGAGGCGGGAGGATCACGAGTTCAAAGCCAGCCTCAGCAATTTAGCGAGGCTCTAAGCAACTCAGCAAGGCTCTGTCTCTAAATAAAATATAAAAAAAAGGGCTGGGGATGTGGTCCCTGAGTTCAATTCCTGGCCCCGTGTCCCCAAGGTTTCCCCTCACCAAAAAAAGAGAAAGCTTAGGTAAGTTCAATAGGGTAAGATGTGATGAATTAAGATTGACTTGCAGCTGCCTCCTAAAGGTTTTTCCATACATAGGTAAACCATAACCTCTCAGATGTGTAGGCATATTGTAAACTACTCTTATAACAAGTAGCCGAGTCTCAGCCAATCACAAGTGCATAAGTCCCTCTTCCTCATACCTTCTTGACTTCATTTTGAATGTTTTCCCCTGGATGCCGGGAACAAACCCAGTGCTTGATTAGCACCATACCACAGAGCTATAYCCCTAGCCTTAGGACTCCATTTTGAAAAGCTCTTGAATGGTGATTTCATTATAATTTTTCTTTTATTTTCACATTCTCTTCTGTCCTCTTTCCTGGGCCCCTTACCTAGTATTTAAATCGAGGACCTACACAGGCCCCTATGTTCACAGCAGTCCTGGGCAACCTGTGGGTGCTGAGACCCAGGGGGACGAGGAGGGACTTTAGAAGGGTAACTGTGTCTGACAATCTCAGAGGCCTTTCTTAGAATAGAGTAAGCTGATAGAGTTGTTAGTTTGGTTTTGCCTTTTCAAAAGGAAACAAACAAAAGCTTAAAATGATGGCTAGCTTTGCTTTTCATTAGCAATTCAAACATAATTGTTAAAAATGGGCAAAATAGGCATATGTAAGTGACATGGGAATTTATAGATGAACTTTTCATAGCTTCAAAAAACTTTTTTGTGACTTCAAACCTTAAAGTGATTGATAGATAATTAGATACCCAAGTCCTTTCTAAATAAAATACAAAAACATTGACCATTAATTATAAATTTAAAGTTTATGTACTTTATCTTGTTTTTGTATGGTATAGAGAAGCTGATTGTACCTGGATTTGTTCATAAACATGAACAACTTTGCAATTTGAGAAAACACATATCTAGAAGTTATGTTAGCCTACAGAGTACTGGGTGCACAATTGCTAGGAATTAAAATGGTAGATACTATATGGAAACTAAAGTTAGAATTAGGAAAAACAAAGCTGGGGATATAGCCCTGGGGTAGAGTGCTTGCCTTTCATGCACAAGGTCCTGAGTTCAATCCCCAGCACCACAAAACAAAAGACAAACAACAACAACCCCCCAACACCACCACAAAAATATCTATC